GATGTGGTTGAATCCTTCTACATCATCTCTTGATCGTATTCCCTCTTACTCCTTGATTACTGTTGTTCCTGCCATTCTCCCTTCTCTTCTCCATATTATTAGTCTACTGGTTCATTTCCTTCTGAGTTTCAACATGCGACTGTTTTTCCAATTCTTAAGAAGGCCTCTCTTGATCCATTTTATCGCTCTAATGGTTGCCCTGCTTCATTGTTTGGCCTCTTGAAAATTTTGATACGTGCTGTTTATATATGTTGCTTCAGTTTTCTTCCTCGTATTTCTATAATTGATCTTTTTCAATCTGGATTTTGCTCTTTGCACTGAAAGGGAAACAGCTCCTACAAAAAAAAAACTCAAATGATCTCCTTCAAGCAAAGTCAAAATGCCTATATTCAGTCCTTTGAGTTGGGATTCCCCAGGGTTCAGTTCTAGGCCCTTTATTGTCTTCTTTTTGGTCACTATCTCTAGGAAATCTTATCAGTTTGCATGTTTTCAATATCATCTTTATCCTGATGATATTCAGCTATATTTCTGCATTCCAGAACTTTTCTGACACTAGACATTATATTACAGCACCTTTTCTGACTCCTCCATTTTCTTGATAGATTACTATGGAATTGTAAATGTTACATGTTTTTAATATAATGAGTCTTATTTTTGGTTTAAATGTGGATCTGCAAGGGTTTTTGGGTAGGATCATTATTTGTTTAGTTGTTTTTCTTTTGTACAGCATTGAATCTTTGCATTGAGACCCTTCGGGGAGATAGGACGGTATATAAATAAAGTTGTTTTGTTGTTGTTGTTGTTGTTGTTGTTGTTGTTGTTGTTATTTCCAGCTATTTTCAGCATGGCGAATATGGCAAAGACAGAATTACTGATTTCTCCTCCTGCATCTTTACAGCGTGCATTCTCCATTACTATTGAAAATATTCCCATTCAACCTGTGAAGGACACACATGGTCTTGCTTTATTTTATTATTTTTTGAACTCTTCCTTTGTTTCTCATATCAAGGCTATAACAAAGATGTTGATTTTTTTATTTTTAGAATTGCCAAAATCATACATTTTTTTGCTTTTTCTCTTAAGACCTCAGTTCATGCCTTGGACTTGGACATATCCCACTTTGATTATTGTAATCTTTTTTTTCTAGTCTAGCATTAGCTCATCTTCATCCTCTGGTTTTCATTCAGATTTTTGCGGTTAGGATTATCTCTTTGGCTTCTTGTTTTGATTATGTTGCCCCATTTTATATATTTTTTCATTTGTTTCCCATCCCTTTTAGGATTCAGCACAAGCTTCTCATTTTAACATCCAAACCTAACTCTCCCCTTCCTCCCCATCTTCTATCACTTGCTTCTTTTTATGGCCTGCTTGAGATCAGTGTTCTAGGAATTTTAGGCTTCTCACCCAATGAAGGCTTCCTTCTTCCTTGGTTCAGTTTCATGCTTTTTCACTAACTTCTTACTTCCCAAAAATTTGCATTCTACTCTTTCTCTCCGTATTTTTAAATCTTAATTTATAATGTTCTTATCTTCCCAAGCTTTTAGAATTTACTTTCATATTGCTTTATAATCTTGTATATTCTGATTACATCTATTAGAGTTTAATCCATTGCGGTGTTGCAGTGAGTTAAACCCTTTTGCCAGCTGGACTGCTGATCTGAACGGGCCTGACAGATCTCCCATCTGTCAGGCCCAACTTCCCATATGGAAACATGAGAGAAACCTCCCACATGATCAAAATACATCCGGGCGTCTCCTGGGCAACGTCTCTGTAGACAGCCGATTTTCTCACATCAGAAGCAACTTGCTGTATATTGTCAATTCACTTCTGACACAATATAATTTATTATTTATTTATTCACTACATTTATATACCGCTTTTCTCCCCCTAAGGGAACTCAAAGCGGTTTTCAACATTATAAAGACAAAATTCATGTGAAAACCAAAAGATAGCAAGTCAATAACAAATAACTATCAATTAACCTGACCAAATTAAAACAAAAACATAAAACAACATTTAGACATAAAGCATAAACATTAAACTTCAGTTATACAATCAAAATTCTATTAAAACCCACCAATAAAGAATACGGTTTAAAAACAGATATTAAACTCGCGCCATCCAAAATCAAGTCCATAGTCATTCCATTGGTCCATTCACTGTTCCTTATTATCTTATTGCACTACAAGCTTTGCTGTCCGAAAACTTGGTCACATAACCACATTTTTACTTTCTTCCTGAATGTCAGGAGGGAGGGACTGCTCTAATTTCACTAGGTAGGGAGTTCCATAGCTAAGGGGCCACCACTGAGAAGGCCCTATCTCTCATCCCCACCAGTCTCACTTGCGAGGAAGGTGGGATCGAGAGCAGGGCCTCCCCAGAAGATCTTAATCTCCAAAGTGGATCATAGAAGGATGATACATTCAAACTGGTAAGCTAAGTCAGAACAGTTTTTTTAATCTATTAGTCAACTTGCTTTATATTATATTGTATTTTTAAAAAATTTATCTGACACTAATCTGTTTTATAATTGTATTGCTTAGTTTTATATTGATTGTTCCGTCTTTCTGTCTGTGTATGTATTCTGTATATAAATATATTTTAGATTGAACACCTTTAGCAGCACCTTGTCCAGTGAGGGCACTATATATGAATAAATAGTAATAATACTAACAACAACAACAACAACAATGACCATACATTTCAAATATTTTCTGCATTTTTAAAAGAAAAACAGCTTTCTCTTCTGCAATATAGTCCCCACGAAAATAAGACACAAATATCATCATACATGCTGTACATCTTGCCTATTTATATTAACGTGCAGCACTTACATCTTTAGAGGCAGATTATGTCCAAGACTGATTAATATTAAAATTCTAGGAGGTATGTAGAGTGAATTACTGCAAAAACAGCAAGAGCATTAATGGTATTATGACACACAGTTTTATTATACTGCTAAAAAAATCCAAATTTTTACAGGTCTTAAAAAGGGGGGAAAAGGTTTCTCAGACTTGCATACTACAAAAATACTACATAACCTAAGTAAACAAGGTGTCTCATTCTGAAATAACAGTGTTGCCTTATGACACAAAAAGTTGCTTAATATTTCATTCAGTCATACCTGTATTCAGTGCCAACCTTACCCTGTAATTTCACACTGAAAGACATTTTCTGTGGTCTTTTTTTGTTAAACCTTTTAAGCTACTCATCCTTTCTAAATCCCCAGGAGTATCCTTTACCTGAGTAATTCACCATTTCCTCCTCCATCTCCTGACTCCATTGAGACATTTCAGGATTAATGAAACCCAGCACCAAGTGTCCAATATGTCATAGTTTAAAGATGGGAGGAGGATTAAACCTAAAAACACGTGGCAGGTTTATTCCTGCAGTCGTAAGTGAAAAGAACTTCACTTTTTACAAGAGCTAGTTTCCTACATTTATTATGTTTCCAGGACTTACATTAATCATACTTTTCAATTATTCATTTTTAAATATGTCTGCTCTGATTCTGTCTTATTAACAGGGTGCCTATAAATTACGATAAGTATGAGTTGTAAAATGTTCAGCAGAAGGGATAGGGTGACATTTCCTGTGTGGATCACAAGCTGAAAGTTAACAAAAAAATGTGTGAGAAAAAGAATGACCTTTTTGTTTGTCCCAAACAGCTAAATTTATAACACCAAATCATGGCATCCTAAAAGATGAATAACTTCATGGGTGTATTGTGCCATAGGTTTTCATCATAGCATATGCTGCAGTTAATGTTTTGACTTTTTAGTTGTTTTTCAAGGGTGAAATCTGGAATTTACAATGGGTGGTGAAATTGTATATGTGTATTAAAACATAAGGAGCATGGTACTTAGCCATAAAATCCATTTATTCTTTTAGGCTTACTCTCCAAAATGCATGTTCTAATTTTCTATTGTAACTTACTTTCCTGTTCCTCACTCATGACACCAAATTCAGGTTTATTTTACATATTTTAGGCTTCAGTTCTCAGTAACCCAAAACATAAAAGGCCAGCTCTTCCCTATTAATGCAGAATGTTTAATTTAAGATTAATCTTCTTCTTCTTAAGCAATTCCTCATTGTCCGAACATGATGGCCTTCCAAGTGTAGTGTCTTGGCAGTGGATACGTAGGTGACTATGGGGCCCTATTCTTGAACTGCATGATCTTCCACAGTGAGGGCATCAGTTTCCAGGTGGAAGGTGGTCCTGGTCAGGATTGGCTTGACGCACCTTCCTCTTGGCACATTTCTCCCTTTCACCCTCCATTCCTGCCTCTTCAAATTCTACAGCACTGCTGGTAACATCTGAGCGCTCAAGGGCCAGGGCTTCCCAGTTCTTGGTGTATATGACACAGTTTTTAAGGTTAGCTTTAAGCCCATCTCTAAATCTCTTTTCCAATCCACCAACATTCCATCTTCCATTCTTGAGTTGGGAGTATAGTAACTGCTATGGGAAACAGTGATCGGGCATTCGGACGACATGGCCAGTCCAGCAGAGTTGATGGCATAGGAGCATTGCTTCAGTGCTGGTAGTCTTCTTTTTCCAGCATGCTGACATTTGTCAGCCTGTCTTCTCAAGAGATTTGCAGGATTTTTCGAAGGCAACACTGATGGAAACGTTCCAGGAGTTGAGTGTGACATCTGTAGATAGTCCATGTTTCACATACATATAACAGGGTTGGAAGGACAATCACTTTATACACAAGTACCATGGTATTCCTTCGGATGTCCTGATCCTCAAACACTTTCTACTTCATTCAGGAAAATGCTGCACTCGCGGAGCTCAGGCGGTGTTGTATTTCAATGTCAATGTTGACTTTGATGAATGATGAATCTTTCACTTTAGATGAAAGATGAAGTATAACTATAGAGGAGTGTGAAAGGGACCCTTCAAAGATTTACTAAGGACCAGATGGGTTGCTTTATGTGTTGAGTACAGAAAAGCCACAAGTCTGCCCTACTACATGTCCAATTTTCTTTGTCAACAGTGTAATGGACCGTGTATTGGCTCTCGGTTGGCAGTACAGCACAGGCAGGTTTTCTGTCAAACCAGGGATGGGATATCAGTACCTTCTGACCAGTGCGGTTCTCTTCCAAGGTGAGTCCCACTGTTACTTTTTAAAAAACAGATTTCAAAGAGGGTCGTCTCTTCCAGCATAAAAAGGAGGAGAGAAGGGGGAGGAGAAAAAGGGAATATTGCAGCACCTTGGAAACTGTTTTATGAGCTTTTGTGGATATAACCCTACTTCTTCAGATTGAGTCAGAGTTTGAGGAGGATTCTGCATGCCGGTTTAAAACTGCATCTATACAAAAGGATTTGTTTGATATGATATTAAATATAAAACTGTTCTTTATGTACTTTTCTGAAATATACACAATTTTTTCTAGATGTTCATTTTTATACCCCTTCAAAATGAGGGGGAACTTTTTGCCCCAATCTGTATTATGCTACACTGAACGATAGGGATTGTGGCCCTTTGCATCTTTCAAAAATACCAATTTCTCTGCTGATTTTTCAAGAAATATCATAACATTTATGTACGTTTTCAGAAAAAAAATCTGCATTTGAATTTTAGCATTTTCTCTATTACTTTTCCTGAAAGGCCTTTAAGCACACAGAACTGCTGGACAGATTCTTGTGGTGTACACTGGAGAGTCAGTTTATGGACACTGTGTACTGCTACCTGCGGCAGCTACGGTTTCCAATCGAGACGAGTGGAGTGCGTGCGCGTCCGCACCAACAAACCAGTACCAGAGCACCTCTGTGCCTGGAGAGCAAGGCCGGCTAACTGGCAGCGCTGCAACATCACCCCATGTGAAAACAGTACGTCCTTTTAGCTTCGTATTGCCAGTTACTGCCCAAATATGTGCATTCTTAGAGCCAGTTACACACTGAGTGGTCAATGGCTAGTGTGAATGTCAGGATTTAGCCACTCTTTATATTGGGCTACTCCAGATAACAATATCATGTTTTATGTTTTGAAGAGGGTCAGGATTACTGCATGCTCATATAAAGACTTTAATTACACTATGTAACAACATTTGCATTTTTTTCTGTTCCTGTTTTGAAAGTGTTGTTCCTGTTTAATTGTGCAGTACTTGCTTTCAAAGTAGTTACTACAGAAACTTTGTTTTTGTGGCTGCCACAAACTATGTTGAATTGGTTGAGACTCAATAAGATATTCATTGAGAAACTATAGCAACATGTGCTGCTGGATGTCCTACAAAAACAAAGTTTTTGCAGTTTAATAAACTTTTTCCATGTTTTTAAGATAGAACCAATTAAGAAATGACATTTATGACCCAGGGACAAAAATTGTGTTAGTTATATAGTGTTATTAAAGTGCCTATTTCGAATCTTTGAGGTTTTGGGGGTATGATGCTGCTCCATCACTCATGTAACATACTTAATGTACTCATGGAAAACAATGGCTTTTGTGAATGTTTTGCTGTGGTGTTCTATTTATTTTCACTAGAAGTGTAGAATTTCTCTGAGCCTTATTTATTTATTTGCTTCATTTGTACCCCGCCTTTCTCACCCCTGCAGGGGGACTCAAGGCGGCTTACAACTCTGGCAAGATTCAATGCCGCTTAACATAGTTATAAAACATATCCCATAAACTAAAAACAGTTAAAACGGTAAGCAAATAAAATACATAGAATAAAAACCAGTTAAATCATATAAAGTGCATGATTCCATTAATCCATAATCCTTGCTGATAATTCTTATTCAGATCATGTCGAAACCGTAATGATTTATTTTGCAAACGCTTATGTTCAGAGCCATGTCTTTGCATTTTTTCTGAAGACCAGTATCCTACCCACTTCCCCAGCAATCTCCTACCTCATGGTACTAGCCCTAGCCCAGCCCTATTATAGCTATTCAGCAGGCCCTGGAAACGAATAGCCCCAGGCACTACCCTGGTCATTAGTTGGGGCCCTGTTCTGCACTTTACCCACATCCCCAGCACTATGTTTCCCCATTGGCCCAGCTCTCTTATAGCCATGCAGTAGGCCTTGGGAATAAATAGCTCCAGGTCCCACCCTGACCATCAGACAGGACCAAGCTTGCACCTTATCCATTCCCCGGGTCCTAATCTACTTCGTTGTACCAGCCCAGCCCTCTCATAGCTGTTGAGTCCCACTTTGGAATTTTGGCCATTGGTAACTGAACTTGCCAATGGAAATTAGTACTGAACTGGCTTTTAATTTTAAATATGTACATCTGTTATATAGTATTACATTTCTGTTTTTATTGTATAGTGTTTGCTCTATATGTTTTTACGTTGGTAATTGCAATGCTGTACTGTGTTCAAAACCGCCTTGAGTCCCCTCGGGGAGATAGAGCGGTATACAAATAAAAGTTTATTATAAGTTTATGGGGCCTGCCTGATGTCACTGGGGAGGGAGTTCCACAACCGGGGGCTGCCACTGAGAAAGCCCTGTCTCTCATCCCCACCAATCGTGGTTGCGAAGGAGGTGGGATCAAGAGCAGAGCCTCCCCAGCCTTACCTTCATCATTATACCGTCCTTTACAAACAACCCTCAGCTTTTGTTAGGGTTGACAGGAATCTAGCCAAGAGGGTTATCTTTTAATGTTAATGAAGAAGGAAATGACAATATTGTTCTCTTCTCCTTTTCCTGTAGATGAGTGCAGAGACACCACCAGGTACTGTGAGAAGGTAAAGCAGCTAAAGCTCTGCCAACTCTCACAGTTCAAATCACGCTGCTGTGGGACGTGTGGAAAAGCATGAAGGTGGCAGCAAAAGAAAAAGATGGATTTGGCACCCCACCAGCCTTGCTCTGCTTTTGTTATTGAGAAGGGCTTCTTGAGAAAAGGAAAATTGGAATAGAATTGCCTTGTTTTATTTATTTATTTTTCCCTTTCTCTTTTTTCTTTTTCCTTTTAAGAAATCCCTTTTAATGGAGTCAATTTTTTTAAAGAAAGACCTTGACAAGGTTTCCCTTCCAATGAGGTTGGGAGACAGAAATGCGGCGAGTCACAGTTTGTTCTCAGGCTGGAGACCAAAAGAGAGAAATGGAGAGAGAGGAAGCAATGAGATTCCCTGGAAGACTTCACAGTTAGCCTTGACGGATGGAACAAACATGCAGGAGCACAAGGACTCCAAGTGTTTATCTAGATAGTCAGTATTTGAATCAGGATAGGACTTTACAAATCACTTTCACAATTATTAAAATGAGGAAAGGGAGTTGTCTGGTTGAAAAATGTGGTAACCTTGCAAATATCACAAGAAGGCTTGCCAGCATGATATAAATACAAATTTTGTATATTGATAACACGACTTGGGTAGTTGGCTGCGATATCCTCCTTTTGGGTGAACAGGATTTTGTCATACAACTTTCTCCATTTGGAAATATTGGGAAACGAGAAAGGCAATAAAACTGTTAATGTTGGATAGGCTGCTACACCTAATGAGGGGACAGGCTTGTAAATGTTTTTATGTATTCATCCATGATTAGTTCTGTATGAAGTATGGGAAAGCTATACAGATATACCTCAATTAAGAAAGTTGATGTATTTCTGGCCATTATTTCTTTAAGAGACATTTTAGTGCAAGAGAGAGAAATAACATGGAAAAAATAGGGAACTCTATTTCATTTCATGTTGTAGTTTTGAATCAATCAGGTCAAGTAAGTCTTGAAAAGATAAAGGTGGAGTATCTCTTATGCAAAATTCTTCAAACCAGAAATATTGTGTGTGTGTGTATTTGTGTATGCACACACACACATAAACACAAACATACAGTATACACACATACATATGCATTTGGATTGTGGAATACCTCTATTTCCATATACATGCATAATAGGACAGGACCCAAATCTAAACATGAAATTAATTTGTTTCATATTCCCCTATATACACATTATCTGAAGGTAGTTTTATACAGCTTAGATAATATTTTGTTTGTATACACTGAACCATTAGAAAGCAAACATGCCACTATCTCAATATCCATGTGGACAATTTCAGATTTTGGAGGATTTTGGCTTTCAGAATTCCAGATAATGGATACTCAATCTGTACATAAAAACATTTTGAAACTTCTGGAGGCCACTTCATAACTTTTTCCAAAATTGTCCCAGAGATTATTTTATTCTTTCCTCAGGCTCCATTTTTCTTAGAATTTCATTTTTGTTAGCAAAAATTTGCATATTTATTTGAGTATAATGCATCATCGAATGTTATGTGCACCTCATTTTTGAAAGTGTACATTACAATAAAAGGATTCAGTGTTGAATGTAATATGAGGGGTTAGTGGCCACAAACAGGTTAGTGAGAATCCGTGCCCCTCTGTCAGGCCTTCCCACCAGTCTTTTCACTGCAACCATCTGCTTCACACCACCCTTTTCATGGCCACCACTGTCTCTCCATCTCCTGTCCCAAGCTGGAATCTCTTGTCCAAAATTTCAGGTGGGCTCAGGTGCACGATTCTAATGTGACACTGAATCTAACGTGCACTTCAGTTTTAGCGATGTAACTTAGCCAAAAATTATGAGCAGTCAACTCAAGTGAATCTGGTATTAATTGTAGCCATTGAGGCAGTCTTACATGCTCTCCCCCTTTTTCTTTTTTTTACCAGTTCAGTTTATTTTTGCATTGTTTGTGGTAGGTAAACTGTGAAATCCACCACTGTGTTTCTCCAGCCTTCCTTCAAGCCAATGCTGGGTCTCCAGCCTTCCCCAAGCCAATGCTGGGTCTGAGCAGGCATAAAAAGTCTTTGTCAAAAGGATCTTATTTGTCAGAGGCTTTGTTTAATTGAGGTATGCCTGTGTTTTGTGGACTAAACTGGCCATGTTTTGTGGTCATGCTGTTGGGTGGGGAGAATGGGAGCTGTTGTCTAAAAAATCATTCTTCCGTACTTGGATTTAATATGGTGTTGTATTTATGTTGTGCTGCAACTTGGGGCTTCCTGATTCTTGTCATGCTTAACAACCCAGGAGCAAAAAAAAAGGGTTATATTTTAAATAATGTCGTTTGAATGGACATTTGTAATCATTCAAATGGCATATCCATCCTTGATCTCTTCAATTCATTCAAGTTTGTCCATATCCTATTGCTTCCTCATTCATCTGTTGACCACTTCAACCATTTGAGATGTCTATGTACATGAAGATCAATTCCATGTTCATTCATAATGGCTGAGCTCTTGCATAACAGGCTATGATGCATATCTTTGTGATGACAGAGCTACATTGCTGACACAGGAGCGCCCGGTGGCACAGTGGGTTAAACCCCTTTGCCGGCAGGACTGAAGACCGACACGTCGCAGGTTCAAATCCGGGGAGAGGCGGATGAGCTTCCTCTAGCAACTCCAGCTCCTCATGCGGGGACATGAGAGAAGCCCTCCACAAGAATGATAAAAACATCAAATCATCCGGGCATCCCCTGGGCAACGTCCTTGCAGACGGCCAATTCTCTCATACCAGAAGCGACTTGCAGTTTCTGAAGTTGCTCCTGACACGACAAAAAAAAATTGCTGACACATATGCAACCATGTTAGAGAATTGCAATGATATGCAATGAGGTATTGAACAAGATGTCCTGTTGTGCAGCATCAGTCCCCAATAAAGGTATACAGTGGTGCTCCATGAAAGGTGGAGGCGTTGTTCGTGCTGGGCACAGGACATCATCACTTACCCTTACTCTCTGTTTTGGATTACCTATGCCCCATGGATTTGTTAGGGGCACTGCCACCCTTGCTTACACTGCTATTGCACTAGAGAAAACCTGTCCTAGAACATGCATCACTGTTGCACATTTTGACTGTTGTAGAAGAGCCACACTGTTTACCCTACTTCTTCAATGGCAAAGCTAGGATAATACTCCCCTACTAGAAATATGACTATTGTGCAACACCACACTTCTAAAGTGGACATCCATAAATTGGTTAACAATCTTGTAAACTGTTTACAGGATGCCAGCCATTATTTTAATCTAATGAAAATGGAATATAATCTCAAAATAGGATTGTGAAGTTCCAGAATCCTGAACCATCAAAATTTAGCTACTGCTAATAGAAATTACATTGTATCACAATAAACAGTGAATGGTTTTTGAAATGCAGGTTGCATCTAGGAGAGCAGCATGGGTAGATGTAATGGGTCATGTTCATTATAGGGGAAATGAAGAAAGAAAATCTTGATAATAATGGAAAAGGAGGTATGGGCAAAAGTCCAGAAAGACAAATAAAATGTGGCTTATGCAGGCCAGTTGTCCTATTTGTATATGAGTGCTGAATAAGAAACAAAATTCATAAATTCCCCAACATAGAAACAGAGCATAATCAGAATTGAAATGGATATTCCATGAGTTTGGAATAAAGTTTAAAAAGGAGCAATGACAAGTGTGCAAACTATTGGCATGCTGCCACACAGTGAACATAGGCTATTTATGGTATGCAAAGATATTGGTGTACAATCTTAAACATGAAATTATGGATATATAATATTTTTCTCAAAAAAGAAACCAAACAGGCTACACTGTGTTCTCAGTTGAAGTAGCTGAGAGACCAAAAGTACTGTTGATCTAGATCAAACCTGCACAATTTGGCAGTTATAAAAGCCTATAATTTTAAGAACACTTCCGTGGGCCACTCCTCCCTGCATGCCTGGCAGGGGAACGTCTAACCAGTGAAAAGGAAACCCAGCCCCTTCCATGAGCCGCAGGGAAGCCCTTTGCAAGCCACAACTGCCCCATGCGCTGTATGCTGTGCAGGCCTGATCTAGGTCATCGTCACTGAAACTTGCATCTAAGAATATTTTCAGGAACAGAGGATTAAGCAGGTTATATCTGCAATTTAAGTTGGGCTACTTGGTCCAAATCCAGCATCCAACTCTGATACCTCCATTCGGAAATTGGTAGTGTTTGACAGACACCTCCATTTAGAAATTGATAGGATGGTCTAATCATTTCAGCAAGTTTGCTATCTGAAGGCTGTCAGGACATGGTGTTTAGTCTCTGATGCCAATGCTGAAAGCTGTACACACATGTTTTCAGGCTGCTAAGAAGCAAGTTTGCTATCTGTCAAGACATGGTGTTTAGTCTCTGATGCCAACGCTGAGAGTTGTACACATCTGTTTGCAGCCTGCTAAGAAGCAGAAGCGAAGGAAGCCCAGATGGTCCTATGTGTGCTTTCTCAGTTTTTTCATCATTGAAGAGTGATCAGCAAAGACAAAACAACAGAGATGCTAAGATTGTATTGTCAAAGGCTTTCATGGCTGGAATCACTGGGTTGTTGTAGGGTTTTTTGGGCTATATGGCCATGGTCTAGAGGCCTTCTCTCCTGACGTTTCGCCTGCATCTATGGCAAGTATCCTCAGAGGTCATTCCACAGATATAGAAACCTTTTTTCCTAGTTCCAACAGACCTCACTACCTCTGGGGATGCTTGCCATAGATGCAGGTGAAACGTCAGGAGAGAATGCCTCTAGACCATGGCCATATAGCCCAAAAAAACCTCCAACAACCCGGTGCTAATATTCTTTGTCAATCAATCAAAATAGTTTATTGTACAGGCCCAAGGCCATGACAAAAAACACCACACGTGCACAATAGTACCTTTGGAGGAACAGGCACCAAAGACACTAAACAGAAATCATTCTTTATCATGCATAGAGTTGCTTCATTGATTTTGCTTGCTGAATGGATTTAGGTATTTGGGCCTTAGTATTAGTGCATGTTGAGTATATTCAAGTCAATGGGAAATTAATGATGTCCAGAAAGAAATGCTTGAATTGATGGGGCATGTGGGGAAAAGCTGAATTGCAACGGTTGGATCTGAATTGCCTCCATGTGGGTAAGGCCCCCAATTCTGGGATTTTGATTGAGAACCAGCTCCATAAAAGAGCTTAGCTGTGCTTCAGGTGTCTCTGGAAGGGGCCCTATAGCTTTCGCTACAGCAGTAAAACACAGTTCAAGGTAGCATTGACAGGTTGCAGCTTTTATTACCTGTGTGTTTTAAAGCAAGTCTGGAAGTTCTCTGGTGAGGTCAGCGTCAGGTCCGTCAGATTAAATTGCCTCCTGTTTTGGGTCATTTCAAAATGGGTCTGGAAGGGAATACTCTCTCAATCTCTCTGTAGATGGGTCTCTGAGCTCCTGAGTTGCTATGAATCAATGCAACACTTATTTAAGAAAAAGAATGTCTTTCTATGTATGTAAATGTACCTTTTTCTGTATATTTATTAGAATTTCTTGTATAAAAAGTGCAATATGGATAATTGTACATTATGCTGTCTGTCCAGATGAAAATTATTTGGGGGAGCACTTTTCTTTTGTCCCTTGTTTTTGCCCCTTTTATAGTATCAGTGATATAATGTATCCTTCCTTATTTTTTAACAGCACTTGTGTTTATTTTTTTTATTCAATTGCATACAGAATCAGTTGTAACATTGAGGGTGGGGTTGAAGAGTGATTTTAAAGTGCCAGACAAGTAGGTAGAAACAGAACAGAGGGGTATATTCCCAACTAGTCTACATGGGGTACGTCTACATTGAAGAATGAATGCAGCTTGACAATGTTTTTACTGCTATGTCTCAGTGCTATGGGAACATGGGGGCTATAGTTTTATAAGGTCTTTAGCCTTCCCTGCTACTTCAAATCCCATGATTTTGTAGCATTGAGCCTTAGCAATTAAAGTGGTGCCAAACTGCATCCATTCGGCCATGTAAATGCACCTCCGATGACTGTTTTCATGATTAACATGCTTAGCAGAATCCAACAATTAAAATCATTGAGAGAACCAGTGTTTTGATATTCACTCCTGAATAATTTCATTCGGATTGTCGTCTCAGATGTCAGGCCTCTCATCCAAGATGCTGGAGTCTGCTTGGGAAATACACAAGGCTCTCATGCAAGCTGGTTTCCCTTTTCAGTGTATAGGCCACTGT